AGTTATTCTTCAGATTGAGACTATTCTAATATAGTAAAATTATCAAAAACAATATAGTAGTTTATTCATAATATTTTGTAATATTTGTTATTTTTGTTTATATAATCTGTAAACAAAGTTAATCAATACCACAAAACTTTTAAAGAGGTACTGTAAGTAAACTTTTTTGATGATTTTACTACTATTGGAATTACTTTGATCTGAAAAACAACTTTAGTTAAAACCAAAAAATAGATTTATTTAATATAAAATCTAGTTTTAAAGTACTTTTTATTATTATTATAAATAAATATTATTTATTATAGTTAGCAATGCAAATTTATTTTTTGTTTTGAAATAATATATATGTATATACTTGAAATGATATGCAAATTAATTAATTAATATATAGATAGATATTATTTTATACTTGTATAATATTATATTGAAATATCTTTATTAATAAATAATAATTACCTAATAATTTTATCTTTTAATATAAATTATTATTAAAGAACCAAATTGTAAAATATATGTATTATTAAAAAAATTTTATACAAATAAAAAAAGTTTTATAGGTTAAAAAACTTAAATCACTTGAATTAGTATATAGTATAATTATAGATTAGTATTAACTTAATAAAGTTTAAAATAATATATCTTTAGTTTGACAAGATAGTATTATCAATAAATCTTTTTAATTAGATAACTACATAATACTATTATAAAAAACTAAAATATAACTATCATGCTAAACTAAAATATATATATAACATTTGTTTATTAATAATTCTTACTTAAAAAAATCATGTCTAAATATATTTATTAGTACTAAGATTTGTGAATATATAATATTTAAGATAAATATAGTATATTAATATTTTGTAAGATTTGTTTACATTAATTTTTGAATTGAACTAATACAATGTTTCAATAAGCTTTAGTATTTTTTTAAATAAAATTTATAATATTTATTTATATAAATTTGTTTAAACTTCAAAGTTTAAAGAATATTAACTAATCAGTTAAAACTAGATTATTATTTGACATATTGATAATTTTTTACTATAATAGTGAATATTAAAAAATATGAAAAGATTAATGTAAATAAATTTGTACAAAGTTATATTATTACAAAAAAGTAATTAGTTGAAGTATAAGTAATTAGTTAAATACAAAAAAGTAATTAGTTAAAAGATAAAGTAATTAGTTAAAAGCAAATTTTAATATATTATTTTTAAACTTAGCATTAAGATATTTTATAGTAATATATATATTACTTAACTAACAAATCATAGCTTAAAGGATCATTAATTAGAATTTTATTAGATTTAAGTTAATAAAAAAAGATTTAATAAAACAAATTAATACAATATATATTTTAAAACTTTTACTAGATTTTAGTTTTATCAGGTTTTAGATGTTTTAAACATTTTATCAGGTTTTAGATATTTCATTAGTTTTATCAGTTTTAGAATTATCAGATTTCAAGTCTTTGAACAAAACATGTTTTACTCTATTTTAGAAATTTTACTTAGATAAAATATATAGTTTTATTCAAAATACTAGTTGCAACAGTATTTATATTAACTAGCAAATAAGTTCTATATTCTATATTAGCTACTTCATCAATTTGTGTATCAATTGTGAGCTCTTAGATCTCATTTTAAATGAAATCTCTAACATCAAGATAGTTAATATCAGCAGATACATATCAATAATATTAAAATCTTAATTTAAAACACTTTTAGAACCTTCTGAATTTATTTGCTAAGTTTTATTATTATTAATTATTTTATTTTTTTGATTACAGCTCTCTTTACATTTAATACATGTTTTATAATAGTTACTATTCCAAATGAACAGATTGAAAATATGATAAGTTTTATATTTGTTGCAAAATTCTATTGTGAATTAAAATAATATTATATTATAACACCTTTTTTTTTTGTTTCAAAAGATTTTTATATAAGAAAATTGAAACTTTATTGAAGATCAAAAATGATGTTTTAAATACTTGTTGGTTTTCTGCAGTTTTTCTTTTTTATTGTTCATTCTACAATGATATTAACGTATTAGCAATGTTTTTCTCAAGCAATCTCACAATTTTGTATTCAAAATTTCCTGTTTAGATAGACTACTGATTTTGTATACACAATTAAGGAATCAACGCAGATACTTAAATAGGCATAGTCTCTGTTCATTCGGTCGTTGAATAACTGTTAGATGCATGCATTTTATAAAGAAATTTCTATATTAGTACTAATATAGAAATTATTTTTAAGTTTGCATCTTATGGTTATTTTATAGCGGAGCAGTACCAAATTACCCAAAAAATACTACATTAGTTTACACACAAATAATACTACGTAATCCAAACTTGTAATATTAATATAGGATAATCTATATATGCTTAAGCATGAGAATGTGAAAAAAATACTGAAAATGTGACTAATGTTGACGAAGATAATAACACCCCATCGCATCCATTTATATTTTCTTTTTTTTGTGTGATTTTATCACTTGGTGAAGCGGTGCAGTTTAGATTTATGATGAGTAAACTTTTTTGGTTGGCACTGCTGTAGATTGAAAAATGATGAATTTGACCACTAATAAAGCAATACTGATTTTTGACTAAAATAACTAATATCCCCAAGTAAGTACGTATGCGTTATTACAATAAATTTCTATGTCTAATTAGATGTGTCAATCATGAGGAAGATGGGTTAGCCTGTGGAAGATGGTTAGACGCGTTATTTATAGTCCAAATACTTTTTTAGAGTTTGGCGTTGATTTATTAAATTTGCAATTCGGTAGCTATTATTTAAAATTGAGGACCAAATACTTAGATTTGGTGTTCGAAATTTTAGTTTAATTTTACAAATTTGTCACGATGATAAGTGCCGACTAATTTTTGAACGAGAATGAAATCATTAAAATTATAAATACAGCAAAATTTCATAAATATAACGATACATTATTAAATAGTAATTAAACTTTATGGTATATATTAATGCTATAAAACAATTATTATATCATTATCAATGCTATGAAAAAATTATTGCGGTTTCGATTATAAAATGGTCTACTTTAGGCTGCATTCGATATTCGTACCCTCAGAAAAACAGAAGTTTTAAACTGAAAATTCGATAAAATTTTCAAATTTGAAAAAAAAAATCAAAACGTCTTATCAAAATAGAAGCTGCACCAAATTATTTTTAAATCTTTGAGCGAAGATATCTCAATGATTACCTGACCAATTTTAATGAAAAATTTTTTATTTTAATTTCTCAATTATTACCTGACCAATTTTAATGAAAAATTTTTATTTGAAATTCCAGATTCGTAGAATTCAAATAAAAAAGTTTCATCGAAATTAGTCAAGTGGTTATCGAGATATCCTCGCTTAAAGTTTTAAAAATAATTGACGCAGCTTAGTTTTAATTTTTTAACTTGGGCAAAGGTATTTCAACAACAACCACTTGACCAATTTCAATGAAAATTTTAAATTTAAATTTTACGAATCTTAGAATTCAAAAAAAAAAAAAATATATTTTATCAAAATTTGTCAAGTGGTTGTCGAGATAATTTGGCGCAGCTATTAGGCCATACAAATTTAATTTCATAACATGAAATTTTAAATCAGACCTGGCCGGCCGGCTAAATTTTGTATGTAAAAATTTTATAAAATTTTTTTACCCGTTATTATAAAACATATAAAAAGAATTTTTTGAAAGTTTTCAAACCTTGACTCGGCCGGGTTATGAAAACCAATTTATTAATTTTATATGGCCTTATTTTAAGATAATTTGAAATTTTTTAACCTTTGAGCGAAGACCACCTAACCAATTTCGATGAAATTTTTTTTATTTGAATTTTTACGAATCTATAGAATTCAAATAAAAAAAAAAAAATTCTCTTCGATTTGGGTAAGTGTGACGTCGAGATATTTTCGTTCAAACCTTTAAAAATAATTTGACTACTTTTTGATAGACGGTTTGATTTTTTTTTTTCCCAACTTTGAACAAAGATATGACCATCTGACCAAAATTCGATGAAAATTTTTATTTGAATTCGATGAATTTATTGAATTTTGTTAAGGTGATCATCGAAATAACTTTATTTTAAATGATAAAAAAAAAAATTTTATAATTTTCGCGAAATTTCGATATTTCTGATTCTTTTTTTTCAATTATTTTATTTAAATTTACAAATTATAAAATATATAAGAGTTCAAATCGAGCATAAAGGGTATTATTTATTTTTTTCATACATAAAAAAAAAAAAATTTTTTTTTTTTCTTTCTCAACCAAATTAGAGAAAAAAAAGTTATTCTAATAAAAGAAATGGGTTCAAAAAAAAAAAAAAAGGTATAATATTTTTGATAGAGAAAGAAAATGCATATATATAATTTTGGTTTTTTAAAGTACGTAAATTTTTTTTTTTTTTTTTTTTCTTGAAATCTTGGAAAAGTGTAAAGAATACATATAAGTAGTTTGGATAATATATAATAATTTTTTTTTTCATAAACTACAAAACAAAAAAAAGAAATATTTAATATATGATACAAAAAAAAAAAATACTGTTGTGTTTTTTTTTTTAATTCAATGGCATACTTCAAAAGGATGAGCTAAGGGTAAAGGGGGTTAATATTTAATGATAATAAAAAACCCATTTTAGTTAGAAAGGACAAATGAATATATACAAAAGAAAACGAATAAAATACTGTATACATAGTGTAATTTCATTCATTCATTTAAATATAAGAATAAAATTGTGAACAGAAAGAGCAAATTCAAGTTCAAAGGAGAAGAATAATTCAAGTTCAAAGGAGAAGGAGTTCTATCATATCATGACAAACTTTCACATCACATTTTTATGTTAAATAAACGAAGATAGTTTCGTATATTAACACAAGTTACTTTTTACTTCCAAAGACAACTTGAAAAGAACAACGATACGTCATTTAAACGATTTTGTCATCGCCTGAAAATATCTTTGCCATTCATTTTTTTATCCATTCAATGTTGTCGAATAGCTTTATCACATTTAAGAGCAAGAGCCTTCATATTATCTACAGCATGACATAGATCGTCATAATCCATATGATTTTCTGGAGTATATTTCTTTAGGTCTAATTTATTTGAAGAGAAACAAATATTAATATTTTGTTTTTATATTAAAAATTATTATAAAAATTATTATAAAAATTATTATATAAAGATTATATAAAGAATTAAAAATTACCTTGGAGTAAAAGGCAGTATCGTGTAACACGTTGTATTGGCATTATCATATAATCAGAAAGGTTGAGACGACCTATTTCTGGTTTTCTCAGTGACTATAATTTAAAAATAAAATAATAAATAAAAAAATAAAAAATAAAATATTATTATTTATTATTATACATATATTAAATTTTTTTTTTTTTTTTATTAACATGACAACATACCTGTATAAATTTTCGACATAAAACATTTTCATTGGCTCGTTCAATTGCCAACCTACTTTGTTGATGATTTTCTGCATAGAGTAATAATGCTTCGAAATAAGGACTGTATTTTAAAAATACTTCGCCAACCATTGATTCGGATTCTTGCCATGGATCCATACTACTTTCAAGGTCTTCTACGATTACAGTAGATAACTCTGTAAGGTCTTCTATATGAGCAAAGATTATTTCAGTATCATCAGGATTTACTAGCGGATTTGGATTTTGAGCCGCAGCGATGAATGGATCCATGAATATCTAAAATAGATATATGAATAGATATAATATAAAAGATACGTCAATAAATGCGCGTTTCACATAATATAATTATTTTTTACAATATATTTAAAATATAATTATTTACCTTTTTAAGATTTTTTAAATGAGATAAATAACTTTGTTCAGTAGAATAAATTTCACAAGAAATAAATTTTCTCATTTGACTAGATCTAGTAACAATATCAGTTTCTTTTTCAACATCAGCTTGAAGAGCAATTATATCAAATATAGGAGAATCTTGTATAACTACAGTAGTATCATTATTATTATTTTTATCATTATCAACACTAATATCAGAATTTCTATTTTTATGAATATGATTTAAGACACGAATTTCTGATTCAGAAACAAGTTGTTGATTTGTTTTTGTAGAATTAGTGTAAGCATAAGAATTTCTCCTTTTCCAGTCAAATATATTACGTTTTCGTGAAAATAAGCCTTTAATATGTCGTACTTCTAATTGAGACCAACTACGCCTAATATCACTATTAGTTTCGTTTAAAGTAATCCTTTTAATTGAAAGATTATTTGGTGGTTCGGAGATAGGAGATTCACATATCATGAGATCATTTGTATCTGATACTGAAGAATCATTAATGAATTCAAGATCCGAAGTGCTGATCACCTTCAAAGATGAATCAGATGATATAGGTCTAGAATCGAAAGAACCACGTTTTTTACGACATTTACTTGAAGAATTTGTTTCATTAATGATAATATTATTATTATTATTATTTTTCTTTGAAGAATTATCATCATTAATTTGATCATTTTCTTTATCTATTGAATCATTAATAGATTTTTGTCGAGTGTATATAGATAATGAACGAACAGCAAATGAAGATTTTGAAGATTCTTTGATTTTTTCAATATTTTCAGTTTCAGATTGATTTTTTGAACGACAGAAAGAACGGCTTATAAGTTTGTTGTTTTTAGAAACGTTATCTTGATCATTTTCAGAATCTTTTTTCTTGCTCATCCTACGATTTAAGAAACCAAAACCAGATATTCTACGAGTCGATGGTAAAGTCTCACACCGACTAACACCTAGAAAGAAAATAAAATAAAAATAAAAATTTTAATACATAAGAAAAAGAAAAAAAAAGTAAGGTGAAGAAGAAGAAGAAGAAGAAGTTTGAATAAAAAAAATAATAAAAAGTTGACAAGCGACTGCGGATGAATAAGTAATTTAGGCCGATATTATTAAAGATAGATTTTTTTTTAAAAAAAAGTTGAGAATTAGGAGAAAAAAAAAAAAAAAAAAAGATTTATGGGAGGTTGGATTAAATAAGTAGTTTGTTTCAAGTAACTAACGATGGGCTAAGCTTAAATGATAATAAAATTGGCTGTCAAAGTGTTTAAAAAGTATAAATATAAGTTATATAATATATTATTATCCGATGAATATCATTGACTACAGTTCGCGCCAAAAGGGCAAATAATTTATTGCGTAATTCATCAAACCATTTAAACTATCCGTATTGGTTATGTCAACTTGATAAAAGTCTAATAAATTTTTTTCATGAAAATTGATACCTACCAACTGACCGAATATCTTCGACATCAATCATTATGTTTTGAGATAAATCTAATGAACTGGAAGAAAAGGTTTTTGAAAAGGTTTTTTCGGTTATTTCTTCCACCCAACTTATAGAAGAAGTTGATTTATCTCTTATATGGGATGATGATGATGATGATAGTATTGACTTTTTTTATAAAAAGAAAAAAAAAGAGTTCAAATTAATAATAAATTAATAAATAATAATAAAAATAATAAAAATAATAAAAATAATAAAAATAATAATAAAAATAATAGAAAAAATAATAAAAAATAATAAAAATAATAAAAAAAAA